AAGCCGGTAGGGCATGCCCCCGTACCCCCCTAGAATGGATTCGCGCCTTCGGCGCTCGCATTCGCACCTTCGGTGCGACTTTCTGCATGCATATCGAAAAAGCACAGCTACGCGCCTGCCTCCCATACCCTCCCCCTCCTCGCGCTACGCGCTTCGGTGTGTTGCCTTCGGCAGCACATTTCATCATTGGGCTTACACATTGAAAACCCGTTTGTTACACCCCTGCAGGACTCCACAACCCTGTTGCTGTAGCTGTTACTGCTTATTTGTCTGCTGGTTCTCTTTTTAAAATAGCTTTTTCTGTTCCCTCTTGTTCTGGATTCCTGGGTTTTAGTGAACATTTTGCTGTGATCTACAATGTCTGTTCCCTCTAGGATCGTGTATGTTTGGATCAGGTCAGCTCGGTGTCTTCTGTACTCCAAAGTAGGTAATCCTAGAAGGCAAAGTCTCTCTGAGTAGAGTTTTTTTTGCTAGACTGGGAACTAAACGAGTTGCCCTCCTTTGTAAATTTTCCAGTAGTTTGATGTCTCTTTGCAAGTATGGTGACCAAACAACACTGGGTGGACTAGAGATTTGTACAGTGTTAGAAACATTTTTGTCCATAAATTTGAAAGTTCTAAAGATGAGACCTATAGGTTCCTGTTGGCTTTTGCTTCAGAAGTTGATATGTGATTTTCAAATTTTGCCTTGCTGTCAACAATAACTCTGAGTTTTTTTTCACTGTCTACTGTACGTATATTATGCAACTGACCATCCTGGCCTGTCCAATATTGAGGTGTTTGCTTTTTTCCACGTTGAGTTTCCTAAGCCATGTGGCAGTCCAATCAGACTGAGTTAAGGTCTGACTGGAGATGATCTGTATCCTCTCTGCTGTTAATAGTTTTGTAGATTTTTGAATCATCTGTGAAAAGATTTGTAGTTCTGGAAATGTTGTCTGGGAAGTGGTTGATGTATATTAGGAAGATAATTGGTCCTAACACGCTCCCCTGGGGGACCCATGCTCGTGACGTTGATTGAACTTGACTCTGAACCATTCACTACTACTTTTTGTTTAAGGTTCTTCAAAAAACCTCGATCCATTTAAGGGTTTTGCCTTAAACTTGTAAGTTTATGTATTAGCCTTCTATGAGACACTTTGTCAAAGGTTTTGCTGTAATCTAGGTACACTACATCAGTTGTCTCCCCTTTGTCCAGTCCTTCCATCCAATCTTCCAAAGATTCTAATAGTTGGGTTGTACGTACATGATCTACCCGATCTAAAACCATGTTGGCACTTTGTAAGGAAGATGTTTGTTTCCATGTGTTCGAGTAGTATATCCCTGATGATTCATTGTAGAATTTTGCTGGCCACCGCAGTTAGACTAATTGGACGATAGTTGTTGGGTTTCTTTTTTGAGCCACTTTTATGGATAGGTGTTACATTGGCCTTCTTCCAGGCATTAGGTAATTTTCCTTTTTGGGGTGATTTTTGAAACAGTTGTGATAATGGTTTCTTCATTTCTGATACTGCCTCGGGGTATAGTTTTGGATGTAGACCGTCGGGCCCAGGGCTTTTGTTGGGATTGACCTTTTGAATTGCTTTTTGTTTCAGTTATTTCAATCCTGTTCAGTGGTGTGTTTGGTGTTTTCATAGTAATATTTGGGAGTTCTCCCGTCACGTGTTCAACAAAAACTGAGGAAAAATAATTGTTCAATGTGTCTGCAGCTTCTTGTGTGTGTTCTCCATTAGTTTTTTCAAGCCTGTTTATGGTTGATTTTGTTTTCCTTTTTGATTTCACGCGCTTCCAGAGTTTCTTTGGATTGGTTTTATTCTCATCCCAGCCAGTTTGTGTCTGTGTACATAGTTTGATCACCTTATGTCTGCTGTTGCCTCGTTTCTTACTTGCTTGAATTGGTTGAAGTTTTCAGTCATGAAACAAATATAGACACTTTTTGTTAATTACTCAGGGATTCGAACCTCAGACCCCGAAACTGTTAGAATGTATCGAATCAATTAAATTGAAATACATTTGTAAGGTTCCAATCGCTTTTAAAGTGACATTTTATCCTATACTGTGATTTTTGTGACAGAATAGGAAAGTAATCCAGCAACAGGATCACTTACTGCGATTCTAACATGAAACTTCCAAACTACCTTCATGCATATATGTTCACTGATTGAATTGTGAAATCTTGCACGGCTAGACCGAGGTTTGAACCCTTAAACATTGGTATAATTTGCTTTTTCGAACCCAACTTTTAAGCACAGTATCCTATCTTCTGCTTCAAACCCCTCACCCCCTCCACCCCTTGGTCATCTTTGGTAATATATTTTTTGTAAAAAATAATTTAATGTTCATCATTGTTAATCCATTAACCCTTTGACCACTGTAGACTATAATGGACTCATCCCAATAAATTCATGGAAGAGTCCACTAAAGTTACCTAGGGGTGAAAGGGTTAAAGACTAAAAAAAATCATGTAACCTCAACATTTTTCACGGGAACGTAAAATGTGATGTTTTTTCATTTTATAGCATATATTTCAATTAATTTGTTTTACTTACAGAATTAAGGCGCTTTATTAGTCTTCTCCGGAATCATGCCATCAGCAAAAGAAAAAGTTTTGATGGGCCTAGGGGGCGCTGCTGGTGCTGGCATTCTGGCATGGCGGACAATGTTTCCATGGATTGGCTATGACTTGGAAATGATGAAGGCTGGCAAGAAGGCCATGGATGAAATAGCCATTGACGTGGCGAAAAGGCGATTTGCTATTGATATGTTTGAGGAACAAGCTGCGAACCATCCACGTGATGTCATGTTGATCTTCGAGAACCGCGCTTACACATTTGAATTGATGAATAATCAAGCTTGTAAAGTTGCTAACATTGCCATGAACTGGGGCCTTCCACAGGGCTCCACCGTAGCTATCTTTTATGAGAACGAACCTGCCTTCATATGGACGTTTCTTGGTAAGAGATTACTTTTTCTCTTTTCTCTCATAAAAATAGCTCTGTGTATCGAAAGGATTGTGACAACATGATGCATTGGTCTTGATTCGATTTCCATCTAGGCTGGACATATATTTGTGGATTACAAGTACTTTCGGGTTACTTCAATTTTTAACCCTTTAGGGGGGGGGGGGGGGGGGGGGGGGGGGGTATTTTCCCTTCATTTACACACATATGAAAAACTGGATTTGTCTACCAAAACAAACCAAGGAGTTTTAGTAATCCCCTTGCAAAGAAAGTTCTAGGGGATATAGGATTCTGCCTGTACATATGTTACACTCTAAGTCATCGTTGTAGCGACTTCATTCCTCAACGGAATTTCATTAAACTTCATACAATTGTTAAGTATGACAATACATTGATCAAGTCCGCATTTTGGGTTTCTATTTTGAAGGTCAAGGTATTTTTTTCTTTTCCGAAGGACCATGGTGAGTTTATGCCATACTGCAGCGTCCGTCTTCCGTTGTCTGTCCGTCAACTTTTCCATTAAAACGCTACTTGTTCTGAACGACCAAGTAGATTTTGACCAAATTTGGTCTGGAGCATTCTTAGGCAAAGGGGCCTCAATTATGTATGAACAGTGGGTGTGGCCCCCCTTGGGGCAGAGGGGCGGGGCCCAATAGGGGAAATAGAGGCAAACCTTTAAAATCCTTCTTCTACCATAGGGATTAAGGGATTTCATCCCAATTTGGTCTTGATCATCCTTGGGCCAAGGGGACTCATTGTTGTATAAATGGTGGATGTGGCTCCCCTGGGGGCAGTGGGGCGGGGCCCAATAGTCAAAACATAGCAAATTCTCAAAAATCCTTCTCCTTCTGTAGGAATGACATGAATTTGTCCAAATTCGGTATGAAGTATCCTTGGTTGGAGGGGAACCAATTTTGTATAAACAGTGTGTCTGNGGGGGGGGGGGGGGGGGGGGGGGGGGGGGGGGGGGGGGGGCAATAAGGGATATAGAGGAATATTTTCCTGTTGGAATAACAGGATTTTGTCCAATTGCATATAAATATATAATAACCCCTGACTAAACATGTAATACATGTACACTACCAGCAACATCTAGCTATTTTTACTTCAATTTTGCTAACATTTCCAGGTGAGCGATACAGGTCTTCTGGGCCTCTTGTCCTATGTTTAGGAAAACTTTGTCATCACTCTATCGACTTCATTCCTAAACGAAATTTCATGAAACTTGATACCAGTGTTTAGTATGACAATATCTTGAACAATTTTACATTTTAGGTTACTGCGTTGAAGGTCATGGTCACTTTTACTATTTTTACAAAAAAAACTTTGTCATAGCTCTATTGACTTCATTCCTCATGTTTGGTATGGCCCAATAATTATCCAGACCAAAAAATTTCCTCTTGAAATGCCTTGAACAACTGCTCCTTTCAATTTCTATGTAAAGGTCAAGGTCACTGTTACTATTTTTAGAAAAAAACTTTGTCATTGCTCTAGTGACTTCATTTCCTCTTACATGTATGTCACAATGTGTGAATGCGAGGGGATTTGTATCACTTGTGATGCCTTACACATATGTGTCACAATGTGTGAATACGAGGGGATTTGTATCACTTGTGATGCCTTATTAATTTGAAATTTTGAAAATATATCCGATTGTATATAACACTGGTTTGTTGCATTGATTAAGAAACTCATTTGTTTATGTGTCAAAGATAGGAACATTTTCTTGTGAGGCTATGAATTTGAGCTATGCTTGAGGCTGAGTGGAGAGATTTTAACTCCAGATTTAATCCTGAAGGTGGAATTCTTAAATATTTCATCAACATGTAGAATGCAGTATTTTTCTGTTAAATGCCAAACAAGTCTAAACATTAAGAAAAAACAAAGATTCTCATGTTGTCAGCCAGGTTAACCCTTTCACCCCTAGGTAACTTGAGTAGACTCTATCCTACATTCATCTGAATGAGTCCATGATGGTCTACAGTGGTGAAAGGATTAAAGCCTTATATATGCATATAACCTTGAATAGTGTGACATCATTATTATTACGAAGTTACAACTACCGGTAACTGTTTTGTCTTAAGATATTTTACCCCTATTGTCTGCATTATGACATTAATAAGAAAAAAGTAATTAATTTGCCAATTAATCAGACATATTTTGCAAGACCAGTTAAGTAATTTGACTTCATTTCATCTTTAGGTCTCCTGAAACTTGGCCTAGGCGTGGCTTTCCTCAACAGCAACATACGGTCCAAACCACTTCTACATTCCATCGCGACCAGTGACGCTAGGATACTCCTAGTAGGGTCAGGTAATCAACTCATCAAGGATATGTAAAAATCATGTATGTGTGTAGAGTGATTCAATAAATAGTCAACTGGAGATTGGGCTGATGATCGATTGTAATGAAAAACCAATTATTATGCCATTTCTAAATCCGATTATCGATTACAAATGACATATACGATATGATTGGTCCATTACTGGACTCAAGTGTCAATTGTTTACAATTCAATATAATGTATGCATTGAAAGTCACTCATTTTAATATTTTATTATGTAATTGATGGTAATGTAGAAAAATAGAATCAAAACTGTGCAAAAGTTGTTTGTAATTCATTTATTATAAAAAAGGGGAAACTTAATGTATATTGAACATTTGTCTGTTGATGCAACAGTAGTGTTGGCACTTTATTTGGATATTCAGTCCAATCAAATTATAAACTAATTTATCCATCATCAATCAGTTTACTATTGCTTGACTGTTTCTTCTTACAAAGCGATTATCGATTTATGATTTAAAACTGATTGCCAATCGCTATTATCAACTCCTGATAGAAACTTGAAAGGATAATATTTTCAGTCGTCCTAGAGCCTGAGAAAGTATCATCATCCTCATTTTACAATTAATAACCCCGTACTGGGGTGATTTGAGGATTTGTCTAACCAGGGCAGGTAATATAACCCAAAGGCTTGTCTGAGGATGATATTGCATGCTGAGGGTAGGCAACCCCATATCAATATATGGGCTGATTTCAGTCCAACAAATTTGACCTGTCTGAGTAATCATGTGATACATTTATCAAGAGGGAATAAGATGCATAAAAATATTGTTTTAGGTTTTTCTTCTTGTAATATCCTTTCTTAGCCAATAAAATATGCTGATGGAAATCCAAATGCTAATGCATATTTGCATTACATTAATTGTACTTACAAAATGTATCTAGCTAGGTTTGGACTCCAAACTTTAAAGTTTTAAGCTGATACTGTTTAAGGGATTAGAACTTAAGATTGACAGGTACAGATAGGGGCTATTACAGATATGAATTTGTTGTAGGGGGAATATTAATATGTGTTTAAAGGCAGGAATACTGGAATAGGGAAGAAAAAAATAATTGATGATATAGGGGAGGCGGGGAGAGGGGGGGCGGAGATGTTCTAAAATAGTTGCAAAATAATTTATAGTTGACCCCAAAAAAGACTAAAACACAGGTGAAAGATTTCAGGGTCACAGGTCTCTAGCCCTCCCCCCTCCCCTCTACTATATTTACATCTGTAATAACCATTGAATAGTTTTTGTCCAAGACTTTCTCATTCATAACAAACAATAGATATGATAATATTGATTTGAAATACCAAAATTAACGTGGAGTTATTTCTCAATTGGTTTTAATGTACATCATGAAGAATGTGTACCTGTTTGCAATCTTTAAGTGAATGTTTATCAAATTTTATTGAGCAACTTAATATTACACGTACTCAAATAATGATTGACAGCTGATGTTACTAATATTGGACCCTGTTTATTTTTCATTCACAGGTGAGGAACTGCACCAGGCCATACATGAAATCAAGGGCGACCTGGACATTCCCATTTTCGTGTCGGGTATAACGTCTGAAGAGGCCGGCAGCAGATATCAGTCCATGGATGATCTAATGTTAACGAGTCAACCTAGTGAAATTTGCAGCAGCATCAGAAACACTGTCGCCCTTATCTCACCGTGTATCTACATCTACACATCGGGTACTACAGGTCAGTTTCTTTTGCGGTAATTATATCCCCCACTTATTATGACAAATCATGGCCCACTTGTATAAAACATCTCAACTCTTGAGATTTCCTCAAGTCTAAGATTTCCCATAGACAATACATTGCTTGAGATTTTCCTTAACTTTGAGATGTTTTATACAAGTGGGCCCATGACAGCAACAAAGAGAGAAAATATGTCTATACAGGGTGTCTTATCAGTTAGTGATGGGCTGATGATCGATTATAATCGAAAATTTGATTGGGTTGCCCTTTCCGATACCGATTATCGATTACGAAATTCCATAATTGGTGTGATCGGTTAACATCGAAATTAAAGTCTTATATAAAGTATGCATTTAGAGTCTTATATTCTGATGATTTTTACTATATGATTTATAAAAATTGTGTGTAATCCATTCATTATAAAAGAACGAAATCTAATGTAACTTATCAACTATGTCTGTTGATAATGTTGTTCTCACTCTATATGGGTAATCAGTCCCATACAATTATATATTAAATATGCAATCGATCATCGATCAGTTTATAGTTTCAGTTTATAAACCGATTTTTATACGCCCATCAAATTTGACGGGAGTATTATGGTATGGCGTCGTCTGTCCAGCGTAAACTTTTGTTTGTCTGGCAATCTTCTCCTACATTTTTTTGACCGATCTCATAATAGAATTTTGATTAGATAATTTTTGCAAAAGTTATTGCCCTTTGTTCATTTCAGAGTTTGATTTTTTGTCCGGAGATCACCTCCTAAATTCTTTGACGGATTTCTTTTAAACTTAATTGGCAAAATAATCATGATAACAAGTTGTGTCCTCCTTAAGAGATTTTTTTCTGACAATTTTTCCAAAAGTTAATGCCCTTTGTTCATTTCAGTATTTGATTTTTTGTCTGGAGATTTTCTCCTACATTTTTTTATAGCATGACAGCTAACCACTCTTAGAATGATGCAGATATTATTTGAATGTAAGAAAGTATGTAACACTATATGGCATTCGACAGGCGTATATTTTTCCGCCCTGCGGTTCTCTTGTTGATTACGTTTTTGAGTGAACAGAGACCAATCATGACCAATCATGACAGGGCATCAAATTTAAATTATGACGGAAATTCTCAAATGGTGTCTGATTGATGTTTGCCGACTGACAAATCTAGAGAAACCATAGAAATTACAATCTTGTTCCAGCAATAATGGATGTTCTGATTTTTCATTTGGTAAAACAGTTTGTTTAAAATGTAATTTGAACTGAATGACACCATAAAGACAGATAAACAAATATTTTATTTGCTGTATTAAATGTAATTATTATACCTCTACTTATTTTACACTATACAAGAGTAACCACATAAACAAGCTATTTCCCATCTAACTGCATACCAGGGAAATAGTTCGTCTGGAGGGGTGCAATAGTTTTGAAACTATTTCACTCGGAAAATGCGGGAAATTGAGTGACGTCGTGGGCGGGGCCTGACCGAATATTGACCAATCAGCGCAATCAAATTACGTCGGCAATTTGTTGTCTAATAATATTTAGAATATTGTGAGGGAGTGTTTGTATCGGTATAATAAAACAGTTGAAGTATGGGTATTTCGGTATATAGCAAGTTTATGATCCTCTTCGTCCAGAAATGTTTCCCTCGGCTTTGCCTCGGGAAATAGACCTGGCCTCGGGGAGATCATAAACTTGCTATATCCCTCATACCCATACTCTAACTGTTAAATATAAGCATTAAAAGGCATATTTAAATATTTATGAAATGTGCATAGTGGAATATGTTTTCATGGAACTGTGTTGCATACCATCATAAATGCGCATTTCTATCTTCAATTTTTTGGTGATTTATTGATTATTTAACACATTCCCCCCTGAAATTTCATAATGAACTTGTTGTTCAGGGGTGATTGAGTTAGATATCATCTATCTATTTGAGTCGTGGTTATTATTTTTTAGGACTACCAAAGCCAGCCATTGTAAACATTGCCAAGGGTGTTGGATTCTCTAAATTTTGTCTGTTCTCGGGAATGAAGAAAGGAGATGTAATTTACACCACCACGCCCCTCTACCACAGTGCTGCAGTCCTCGCTCTCTTCTGTGTGATGAATACAGGTGAGGGTTTGCAGGGAAACTTGGTTACACAGTCGGGGCTTCATAGGGAAAATAGCCACATTCACAATTTGAACAATGTTGCCATTGATGAGACTTCATGCATAGGGTAATGGTGGCATGTCGAAACTAACGAGGCTATGTACAGGTAACCATGGTGTTCTAGATTGGAGTATACTGATTTGACTCCAAAGGGCCAACTCTAACATTGCGAGATCTGAACTTTGTTTATACTGTAGGGGGCTGGCTATATAGGAGTAACTGTGTAATTCTAAATTGGTGTATAATAATGGGGCTCCATAGGGGTAGCTGTGACACTTCAGGATCTGAACGATGTTTATGCTGTAGGGGCTGTATAGGAGTAACTGAGGCACTCTAGAATAATGTATAGTGATGTGGCTCTATAGGGAAAACTGTGACACTCCAGGACTGAAATGTCTTTACACACTGATGGGGCTACATAGGGAACAGCAAGGACTCTCTTGAATGTTGTAATATTATACTGACGAGTCTTCATAGAGGAAATCCATAAACTCTAGATCTGTTTGGTCATAGATCTAGAGGTGAGGGATATGTAGGGATATTTTTTTTTATTATTATTTAGTTAAGACCATATTCCTAACAATTGTATATATGGTTGAGACCTCATGTCATTTTGTCACTGTTGAGCTAAACCTTATATTTATGATTCTCAGGTGCAACCATGTTACTGCGTCGAAAGTTTTCTGCCTCCCACTACTGGTCAGACTGTAGGCAACATGGAGTGACCATTGCCCAGTACATTGGGGAACTCTGTAGATACCTGCTGGCACAACCTGAGGTTAGTAGATAAAGAATTGACGTTTTTAGTTCCGCATCTGCAGTATAGAAAAAGGGAATACTGAAATTAGGTGCTTTACCAAACCATTTTCATCTGTCTTTTTTCCGGGCAGATCTCATATGCTTTGTCATCCGACATGTACCTCGTATCATGAGATATGACTGCCGCTAACTGAAATGAGGTCTTATGCCCACAATATATGTCCCTGATACCGAAGTTAAGTGAGTGAATTTTGCCCTCAGAATACTATTGTTGGTGGGTTTTTTTTCCCATCTATATTACATTTTCATGAAAGTCCTGCAAGGAATGGTTTCCTTTTCGGAAATGATTTTTAAAAGCTATAGTCTTGCCGGGAAAATCAGTTTCCAGCACATAGTTACAGTTTTTAGCAGGGGTACAGAATCCTTAAAAATGTTTGCTATAACACCATACAAACTTTGTACTTTCTAATATTTGGTCCTGTTTAGGATCCAGAGGAGGGCGTACACAACATTCGAGTAATGATCGGCAACGGTTTGAGGAAGGATATCTGGGTCGAATTCCAGAAACGTTTCAAGATACCAAAAATTATGGAATTCTTCGGAGCTACAGAAGGAACAACTGCTATGGTTAACGTCAATGGCAGGGTCGGAGCTGTCGGAAGAATGTCTCCTTTCTTGGTATATGTTATTTAATTTTCACACAAAAAAAACCAGCATATTATTGTGCCGAAAATACTTCTGCAGAATAAGTTTTAATCTCTTATTTTTTCACATTTTGTGTAATTCGCTTGTGTGAAACATGTATCTGTTTAACTCATTCACCCCTGAAAGGATTATGTATGGTTTGGGCCTGTTTTGGCCCCCAAATGCATCAAAATTCAAAACCTTTAAATGAACTTTGAAATGACTGTTTCTTTCATTTTGAATACTTCCCAAATACTGTTATGAAAATATTTGTTTATATTTCTAATTATTGTTGCCATGGTAACAAGTTCAAATTTGCATAAATTAGAAAACTTTGAATATTCAATGAAAATTGACTGAATAATCAAATTTCAATGATTTCTGCAAATATGACCTGGTTACCATGGCAGCCAAAATTGAAAACACTAATAAATGTTTACATAATAATACTGGGGAAGTATTCAAAATTAAAGAAACATTCGTTTGAAAGTTTTATTGCAGATTTTTAATTTTGATTGATTTGGGGACCAAAAAAGGCCCAAACCATACATAGTCATTTCATAATGAACTATTCCAACCTTTGAATTGGAAGAGTTCAAATGTGTCTTCAGGGGTGAATGAGTTATAAGTAACAGTCTGTTAGAAGTCACTCTTCAGGTTCAACAAGCAACAAGTCAAACTATATTTTAACTATTTTCACTGTTGTGAAATACTAGTTTAAGTCCTTTTCAAAAGTAGTGATGGTTCTTACTGAATCATAGTTGTTCGAAAAATGAATGTTTGAAAATCAAGGTGGGGGGGGGGGGGGGGGGGGGGAAGGAAATCAACATCAGTTTGCGGGGATCGAACCAAGGATCTTTATGTTTCATAGCCAACACTTGACCAATGTAGCCATTTTGGAATTAAAAATTAATGGCATCAAAATGAGTGTTTAATTCATGGGCTGCTAAGCTTTTTAGAAACTTGACCAGGGAAGTTCTTACAGAGAAAAACTCCTTTTTGGTCGCTTCTTTTTCTGTATAGAAGGGAAATATTGTTTTAGTGGAACTCTTTTTGGTGATCATGACTTTAATAACTGATGCAGTGTTACTCTTTACCTTACTAGAATATTGCCCCAGGATTTTACATACAGGGCTGCTGAATGTACAGTTAGGGAATTTGGATTGGCATTTTACAAAGAGTGGAATAAACTGTCACTGGGCTGAATCTAAACTGGACTGATGTTAGATTACAATAAATCTTGACTTATAAAAGATTAGAATAAATCTGGACTGATACTAGATTAGTATAAATCTGGACTTGCATAAGATTAAAATAAATCTGGACGGATATTAGATTAGAATAAACCTAGACTGATATTAGGTTAGAACAAATCTGGACGGATATTAGATTAGAATAAACCTAGACTGATATTAGGTTAGAACAAATCTGGACTGATATTAGATTTGGATCAATCTGGACGTACATAAGATTAGAATAAATCTGGACTTATATAAGATTAGGATAAATCTCGACTTACATAAGATTAGAATAAATTTGGATTTATATTAGACTGGACTGGTAATGGTGGAATCCAACCAATAGATATTTGACTGACAGTTCTACAGTCATACTTAATCTCTGGTCTATATTTTTTCCAGAACAAACTCACACCTACCCCAGCGTACATTGTCAAGTACGATCCTGAAATAGAAGAGCCCTATAGAAACAAACAAGGCTTTTGTGAGGAGTGCAAAATTGGTATGTAATAATTATCAGAATTCTATGTAGAGTCCGTGTTATGTTCAGGTAATAATTAAAGGGAGTGTCCAATTGTGTTTGGCAACTTTACTTATTTTTCAATTGTTGTAGAATTTTGAAGCACTTCACCATGAAAGTCACTAGAAATATTTGGAAAGGTCAGAAATGCGCTTCTAGTGATTGTCATATCGGTATCCACATTGCATTAATTCTTCTGAAAATAGAATCTGCAAGAAAAAAATGTATAAAGGGAGGTAATTTTGCGACTAATCATAGTCATAATATTGTATATGATGCAAGTTTTTGTTTCCAATAAACCATTAGAGATTTTTGGATAAAGGTGAAGCTGTAGGGTAATCAATTTCAGATAATTATTTTCCTATAAGAAATGCAAAATATAATCTACTAACCATTAGAGATTTTTGGATAAAGGTGAAGCTGTAGGGTAATCAATTTCAGATAATTATTTTCCAATAAGAAATGCCAAATATAATCTACTAAAGGGGAGTAAGGGGAGATAATCCTGCAGATGTCGCACCATTTTGTATAAGCGACCTTCATTTGGAGATATTCTAACCAGTCTTTTATTCAAATGTATAGGTGAGGCAGGGATCCTGATAGGGTCAATTCCTATGATTTATGCGCAAGGTTTCTACAAGGGCGGCAAAGCAGTGAACGAGAAGAAAACTCTACGCAATGTTTTTAAGAAAGGAGATGCTTTCTTCACTTTTGGAGATTTACTGTACAAGGATAGTGACCATTTTGTTTACTTTAAGGACCGTGTGGGGGACACATTCAGGTAGGTCCAGGTCATTAAAAGGTTATATCAAGTGTTATTTTGAAAATAAGAGATAAAGTAGGTCATACATAGAATCAAACTTGATTGCGGGACCAGCCTTAGGAAAACCCTTAAGTTGTTCTCAGGGTTTTAGGTGGACTATTACATAGTAAAATCATTTTATACATAATTAGTATTATTCCTCCATTTCTGGTAGAATGGCTTTATTCTCATATGCACATATCACAGATCCTTGATTATGTTTTTATACTGGACAGGTGGAAGGGAGAGAATGTTTCCACCAATGAGGTAGCCAATGTGTTGACGGGACTGGACTTTATACAGGATGCTAATGTTTATGGAGTACACATTCCAGGTAAATCAGCTCTACACTTCTCTACCTGTGATGAACCTGGTGGCCTACAGGAAGGTGGTGGATTAACCTGGGATGAGTAATAAGCCTACAAGCCTATAGTACTAAACTAGATACCCTAGTTTCCTGTGATAACCACTGCAGACCTATACCTAAATGAGGGAGTGTACCTCGGACAACCACTAGGGGCCTAGTCCTAAATGAAGGGATTCACTGGGGGCCTAAGCCTGAATGAGGGGGTTTACTTATGATAACCACTGGGGGCCTAGCCCTGAGGCGTGGGAAAGGGGGTTACCTGTGATTAACACTAGTCCTGGCCCTGAACAAGAAGGTTTACCTGTGATAAACACTTAGGGTTAAGCCCAGAATGAGGGGGTACCTGTGTTAACCACTGGGGTTTAGCCCAGAATGAGGGGATGACCTGTCATAACCACTAGGGTGTAGCCCAGAATGAGTGAGGGTACGTACCTGTGTTATCAACCAGGGTGTAGCCCAGAATGAGTGAGGGTACCAGTGTTATCCAATGGGGTGTAGCCCAGAATGAGTGAGGGTACCAGTGTTATCCACTGGGGTGTAGCCCAGAATGAGGGGATTACCTGTGTTAAACTATGGGGTGTAGCCCAGAATGAGGGGATAACCTGTCATAACCACTAGGGTGTAGCCCAGAATGAGGGGATAACCTGTCATAACCACTAGGTGTAGCCCAGAATGAGTGAGGGTACCAGTGTTAACCACTGGGATGTAGCCCAGAATGAGTGAGGGTACCAGTGTAATCAACTGGGTTGTAGCCCAGAATGAGTGAGGGTACCAGTGTAATCCACTGGGGTGTAGCCCAGAATGAATAAGGGTACCAGTGTAATCCACTTGGGTGTAGCCCAGAAAGAGGGGGTTACCTGTGTTGACCACTGGGGTGTAGCCCAGAATGAGGAGGTTACCTGTGATGACCATTGGGGTGTAGCCCAGAATGAATAAAGGTACCAGTGTAATCCACTTGGGTGTAGCCCAGAATGAGTGAGGGTACCAGTGTTAACCACTGGAGTGTAGCCCAGAATGAGGAGGTTACCTGTGATGACCACTGGGGTGTAGCCCAGAATGAATAAAGGTACCAGTGTAATCCACTTGGGTGTAGCCCAGAATGAGTGAGGGTACCAGTGTAATCCACTGGGGTGTAGCCCAGAATGAGGGGGTTACCTGTGATGACCACTGGGGTGTAGCCCAGACTGAATAAAGGTACCAGTGTAATCCACTTGGGTGTAGGCCAGAATGAGGGGGTTACCTGTGTTGACCTTTAGGGTGTCGCCCGGAATGAGGGTTATACCTGTGATGACGACTTGGGTGTAGCCCAGAATGAGTGAGGGTACCAGTGTTAGCCCCTGGAGTGTAGCCCAGAATGAGGAGGTTACCTGTGCTGACCACTGGGGTGTAGCCCAGAATGAATAAAGGGACCAGTGTAATCCACTTGGGTGTAGCCCAGAATGAGGGGGTTACCTGTGTTGACCACTGGCGTGTAGCCCAGAATGAGGGGGTTACCTGTGTTGACCTTTAGGGTGTAGCCCAGAATGAGGGTTACACCTGTAATGACGACTTGGGTGTAGCCCAGAATGAGTGAGGGTACCAGTGTTAACCACTGGGGTGTAGCCCAGAATGAGGGGGTTACCTGTGATGACCACTGGGGTGTAGCCCAGACTGAATAAAGGTACCAGTGTAATCCACTTGGGTGTAGGCCAGAATGAGGGGGTTACCTGTGTTGACCTTTAGGGTGTAGCCCAGAATGAGGGTTACACCTGTGATGACGACTTGGGTGTAGCCCAGAATGAGTGAGGATACCAGTGTAATCCACTGGGGTGTAGCCCAGAATGAGGGGGTTACCTGTGATGACCACTGGGGTGTAGCCCAGAATGAATAAAGGGACCAGTGTAATCCACTTGGGTGTAGCCCAGAATGAGTAGGTTACCTGTGTTGACCACTGGGGGGTAGCCCAGAATGAGGGGGTTACCTGTGATGACCATTGGGGTGTAGCCCAGAATGAATAAAGGTACCAGTGTAATCCACTTGGGTGTAGCCCAGAATGAGTAGGTTACCTGTGTTGACCACTGGGGGGTAGCCCAGAATGAGGGGGTTACCTGTGATGACCACTGGGGTGTAGCCCAGACTGAATAAAGGTACCAGTGTAATCCACTTGGGTGTAGCCCAGAATGAGGGGGTTACCTGTGTTGACCACTGGCGTGTAGCCCAGAATGAGGGGGTTACCTGTGTTGACCTTTAGGGTGTAGCCCAGAATGAGGGTTATACCTGTGATGACGACTTGGGTGTAGCACAGAATGAGTGAGGGTACCTGTAATGACCACTGAGGTGCATATAGCCCAGAATGAGAGGATTACCTGTGATGACCACTCATAAAAAAATTCTTTTAATGAATAGTGTTTTGTAATATTTTTCATTAAACTTAAATGAACTTAACATATTTATTATTCTTTGATAATTTTATTTATTATTCTTTGATAATTATAGGTAAAGATGGCAGAGCAGGTATGGCAGGGATTTTATTGAAAGACGGTTTGAAATTCAGTGACGATATGCTCCCGAAGATCTATGAACATTGTCAACGGAACCTGCCGGGTTATGCCCGGCCACTCTTTCTCCGCTTCCTCAAAGAGATGTCCTTGACAGTTACATTCAAGCAACGTAAGGTAGAGGTGGTCAAGGAAGGGTTTGACCCTTCAAAGGTGACCGATCCCTTATACAGCATCAGTGTGGATAAGAAGACGTATGTACCACTGACTTTGGATACGTTTTCCCAGGTTCTTCAGTCAAAGTTATGAATGCCTTTGTTATGCTAGCGTAATGTGCGTTATCCGTCTTGTTTTGAGGAAACTATGGAGCTTTGTATATCATATGAGGGTTAATTTCAACCCTGTTGTGAAAGTTTGAAATTGTCATTTTTTGACAATTTGTGGGCAGTAAGGTTGCATGATGTTTTCAAGCATAAAGCATAAGCATAAGATAATTTAAATTATTCAAGAAAACAACACATTCCGTTGTAGTTTTCCTTTCCCAAAGTGGCTGATTTAGAGAAGGTTATTTATTAGAAAACATGTAATTAACATTCAGTGATAAACAGGTATTACCTGAATCAAAATAAATATTTCTTACTCAAGAGTTGCTAGAAGCAATAAATTATTGATAACCAGTTATTATATAAATATTATTCGGTGCTGAAATTGTTTGTTTGTTTTGCATTTTATATAATGTATTTATTTTCGACATCAAATTATATGTAGAAAAATAATGCTCTGATCCCGGCAGGGGGCTGCCCCAAAATAAACAGTATCTATACAGTTACTTAAACCCTTTCACCACTGTAGACCGTAATGGACTCATCCAGATCAATGTATGGTAGAGTCTACTTAAGTTACATAGGGGTAAAAGGGTTAAGCTTAAGTCAAACATGCGTCAATGTCCACACCAGGTTGTATTATTTGCTTGTCATACCGAGCCGTATTTTGTAAGTCTCAAGAAAACAAATATAATGTGGACATTCCTGTATGTATATGTGTAAAATAGGAAAACTTGCATGTTTATTTATTTAAAAGTTATATTTTGTGTTTAAAAATATTTGACCGATAGTTTTATAAATACTGTCATTAATGTTCTATGGTCAGTTAGGAATGGTCGAACAAGATTATTTTTCGGTAGTGGACGTTAGATAAAGACATTCTGATTGGATGCTGCTGAAGCAGTGTTTTAATTTTATTCATGTGATTCAGCAATGAGTGCATGGCAGAGCATATTTATAAAATTCTTCTAGGCGAAATCTCTGGTTGTGAAGTCATCATTATGTAAAGCCTGGGGTGCATTTTTGGTGTCAATTTAAGTTGACTCCATAAAGAAAAGTGTTCCTGGCATACGAAAATGTTTGGAAAAGGTTTCGTCTACTTGAATTATAACCCTTGTTAGGTCAATAAAAGCTCAGAAGTGGAAACCAAAGTATTGGAAGAAACACATGTCTATGATAAAAGAAAATGAAACAAGAATAAGCTTCAATATATATGGAACATGCTTACAACAATTGTGCAATTGATCTCACCCACAGAGTAGTTCATGCCATGTTGCTTTCACCTCATTATTTTCACAATATTCGTGTTTTCCAGTAGGCAAATAAGTGTTGACCCTTTCACCACTCTAGACCAAAATGGACTCATCCAGATCAATGCATGGTAGAGTCTACTAAAGTTACATGGGATTGAAAGGGTTAAAGTTAAAGAAAGTGTAATCCAGTGGTTCTATATGTAACCAAGATGTTCAAGTATCTGCTAAATGGAGCTAATACAAGTGGGTCATTTATTTTAAAGTACATGTAGAAACTGTCAAAGGGAGGCCAATAATGATGGTTGTAGATTTTGTATTTTCTGTTAATGTTTATTGGTCCGTAAATCATGATTATTATTAAGTTGAATTTTAAATCATTGGTCAATGCCCGTTATAATTGATTGAACGTTACAAGGTGCTTGTTTTACCTTTGCAGATTATATTTTGATACTGATTGATTGTTAATAACATTGTTGAAAGTTGATTTACATATTTGAGGATTTACAAATGTTTAAATAATGAAAAGAAAATGAAATAAAAGAAATCTTTCAAACATTGTTTGAGTAAGTATGTGGTATTTGTTATTGTTTTAATCTCAATTACAATGAATGTACCTTTAGTTGTTGATAAACTAGAGAACTGATTAACTGTGTACACCTCATCAGTATAATACAGCTGGAATACAATCAGATTAGCTGAACAACCGAGTGTTATTTTGACCTCCTGTGACAGCACGACTCCTGAGTCACCTATAATGATCACTGAGTGAACCAGGAGTCATCTTATGACCACTGAGTGAACCTTGAGCCACCTTATGACCACTGAGTGAACCTTGAGCCACCTTATAACCACTGAGTGAACCCTAAACCATCTTACGACCACTGAGTGAACCCTGAGCCATCTTACGACCACTGAGTGAACCCCGAGTCATGATCACTTTATGACCACTGAGTGAACCTTGAGCCACCTTATAACCACCGAGTGAACCCTAAGCCCTCTTACAACCACTGAGTGAACCCCGAGTCATGATCACCTTATAACCACTGAGTGAACCCTAAGCCATCTTACAACCACTGAGTGAACCCTGAGTCATGATCACCTTATGACCACTGAGTGAACCTTGAGCCACCTTATGACCACTGAGTGAACCTTGAGCCACCTTATGACCACTGAGTGTACCCTAAGCCATCTTACAACCACTGAGTGAATCCAGAGTCATGATCACCTTATAACCACTGAGTGAACCCTAAGCCATCTTACAACCACTGAGTGAACCCTGAGTCATGATCAACTTATGACCACTGAGTGAACCTTGAGCCACCTTATGACCACTGAGTGAACCCTAAGCCATCTTATAACCACTGAGTGAACCCTGAGTCATGATCACCTTATGACCACTGAGTGAACCTTGAGCCACCTTTTAACCACTGAGTGAACCATAAGCCCTCTTACAACCATTGAGTGAACCCCGAGTCATGATCACCTTATAACCACTGAGTGAACCCCGAGTCATGATCACCTTATGACCATTTAGTGAACCCTGAGTCACCTCATGACCACTGAGTGAACCCTGAGTCGTGATCACCTTATGACCATTTAGTGAACCCTGAGTCACCTCATGACCACTGAGTGAACCCTGAGTCACCTTATGACCACTGAGTGAACCCTGAGTCACCTAAATCAACCTATAACCCTGAGTAATCTTGTGACCTCTGAGTGACACGTTGACCTTACGACTGAAACCTTAGTGTCACCGTTGCCCCAGATATACTGAGTGGCATCAATACCTATAAACCACTGTGCTGACTTATGTGTTACACTTAAATCCCCGAGCTAGCTGATTTTTATAAACAGGTGGTTTTTATTGACACATCTTTATATACAGGTCTTCATGAACAGTTGATTTTAATAGACACGATTTTTATCAACATGTGATCTTTATGAACAATTGATACATGTGATATTTGATCTTTATAACAGGTGACCTTTATGAATAATTTATCTTCAGTCAGCTGATGATCATGATAGACAGATGATTTTTATTGTCAGGTAACCTTCATAGCCGAGTCTGATCGTTACCAACAGGCTATAGGCAAGTGATCTTTATAGGCAGATAAGCTTATGGTCATGTGATCTCGATAGATACTGGGTAAAGGATCTCCATAGCTATAGACAAGTGATCTTTATAGGCAGATAAGCTTTTGGTCATGTGATCTCGATAGATACTGGGTAAGTGATCTTCATAGTTGGAGATAATTACAATCATGTGATCTTTATAGACAGATCTTTTATAGTCAAAAATCTTTCAGCTCACCTGGTCCAAAGAACCGGTGAGCTTATACCATGGTATAAATGCCCGATACGCAATATGGAAATGACGAAACGAAGGTACGACAAGAAAAACATATATTACGAAGGGTGGAAAGTCCTTAAAATGATTCTAGTCCCTGATGGCTCGGTGGCTTTTAACCAAATTTGGTCGGAGCCTCCTTGGTCAAAACGAACCTAATGGTATAAATAGAGGATGTTATGCTACTAGGATTTGCCAAGAGGTCCAAACTCAGCCCCTTGGGACTAAACTCTCCGACTCATAACATGGAAATGGTTGAGATGCCCACCTCATTACCATATACAAATTTGCTGGTCATTGGGGACACATGTATGACCATGGTGTCGGCCAACCCAAAAGATCTAATCCTTCTTACAGTTTTTATTTCTTACACTTCTTCAATAAAGTGGTAGCAGATTTTTAAACTGAAAATAAAATACAAGGCGAGCTATTCAGTCATCTGGGCCTCGTTACATTGGTTGTCACCACGGTTACAATCTATAACTTTTTTTTTATTCTAAATGGGATTTCAGGCCCAAGTCAAAACTTTCATTTTTGAGAAACAAATGCAGTCAATTTAAAAGAGTCTTGACATATGAACAGAAGATACATATATCCTTGTGACTAGAAGTGAACAAAAATTCAAGTGTACAGAGGGAGTTAAGGTCATTGATGCCAAATACTCTAGTTATGGTAACAGTATAAATTTAAAAAGATTGAAACGACAATAAGCATAAGAGACATTTCATAACAATCGGATAAGAAATAAATCTGAGGAATGGAAACAGCAAAAGATATATTTATAGTAACAGTAACAAGAAAATATTTGTGAAATTTCACGACAATCAGATTAGAAATGAAGTCTGTACAAAATGCTAATTATAGTTACGATGAGGTTACTTCTGGCCACAGAAGGTAGAAGCACAGATTCTTACAACAGGTGATCTCTGTAAACACAGGTATACACATTTTCCCGACAATGAGGTACAAATTTTAAAGTCTGTGTAGCTTCTTTTTGACCCAAGAAGATTAAATTATGAAGCTTTCAAGAAATAATGCTTGAGAACATGAACACATACATGGAAGTTTCATGACAATTGGATAGTAAGCGAAATCTGCAGGGCATGATGACATCTTTAGGGAACAAGTTTGTATGGGCAAAAGTATCTGTCTTCTCCCAAAATGTGTATTGTAGGTACGATTGAAATAAATTTCCTTATATATTGAGAAGATATTATAAATGAACCATAACAAACTGAAATCATACAGCTTAGATTTTATTTAAGCAATTATTACAAGTACACTTAAAATACATGTAATTGGTTTTCACCTGCAAAATAACAACAAATATACCAACAAGTCTTACACTTAACACACCATTCAGTCCTTGAAAACCCTCCCATTTTCACATTAGAGAGTACAACCCATTAAACATCTACAGGACAGTGCAACGAATATTTTTATAAATTATCAAAAATTAACATGTCAAAGAAACAGTAAATGAACCTATTCCTGTAGTTGAAAGTTTGGAAAAAAGCATAAGAAGAAAACCCTGAAAACACATCAGTGTTCTCAACAGACTTTATCAGCAGCATTGTACTATATTTCTATATTTGACACGATGTTATCAAATCTTTCTCATTAATATTCCAAGTGAAATTAAATTAGCTGCAGCTGTTTTAATTTTCATCTCAATTTTGCAATACACGTTTCAGCACAATACCAAAATGCTTTAAAAGTCTGAAGAGAAAACTCTAAAATTGTTCAACTAACATCCATTACCCAAAACAAACCATCAATATAGGTCCTTATCATAACAGAAACAATCCTCACACTTTTGTTAAACATTAGTCGTTTCTCGATGTGCAATTTAAATTTACCGAAATGTCTCGAAAGAACTTTCTTTTTCTTCATATATAATTGATATAATTACAATATCTCTCATATTGCATTATTAAAGACACATCATCACAAATTTAACAGACCACATATATAAAATACTTCATTATTTATGAGATCAACAATTTTCAACATTCCATGCTGTTACTTTTAGAGACACATTTCCAAAATTAAGACCATTAAAAATTAAGTTTTAAAAATTCAAACATCATAACAAAAAGAAATCTAATGCAAATACATGTACTAAGAATTGTTATTTAATGATTATTTGAATGTTTTGTCAGTTGATTGGTAAAAATGGACAAAAGGAAAATTACTGAATTTGTGACATACTACCACCAGCAGCGGCTTGTATGCATGTAATCATAAAAGAGGCAAAAAAAGGCCTGAATCACTTAGTTAAATTTTGTTTATCTCAGTATCAAATTTCCCTTTTCATGTCTAAAATGCCAAACTGGAAACAAACCAAAGCATATGGTTTTAATAGATTTATATCAATAGATTGCTGTTAGAAGACGTTCTTACCAACTTGGACCGTATTTGCAATCTCGAAAGCCCATACCTCTTTGTGTATTGAAGACAATTACGCCAGTTGAGTCAGTTATTGCACAGAACTGAGATTTGATGTCCTGGCTGTGGCCCTTTTATAATTTTTTGGCAACAGGTCAACAAGCTTTCTACCTCAAGTATAAAGATTATTATTTGCAACTTGTATGAGATTTTAAAATAAAAAACAATTTCCACAAACAATTTCTTTATAGTGATAAGCCACGTTTGTCAAAATCCTTCTTGGAAAAACAAAAAATTCAAAACTTGAAAGTAACATTTCATATAGCCTTATAGCAAGTTATAGGTCATTCACCCCTGAACTCTCATAATGAACTATTCCAACCTTTGAAATGGAAGATTTCAAATGTGTCTTCAGGGGTGAATGAGTTAAGAGAGCATAAATAATAAACTCATTGTGTAAATTGGGAAACTAACTGATGATACTACCTGTAGTAGTAGTTTACTTACAAACCAAGGAAATGGAAGCCATTCAGATGGACACATACATGCACACACCAAGTGTCTTGACACACAACACTCCATCTACTTTCCTCTACACATCCACATGCAGGCATTAAATGTGACTTGTACAATTATGTGAGTGATCAAACGTGATAAATTAATTTTCCTATTTCTATCGGCCATTCTTCCACACCAGATTTTCACACTTTGTTCCGTCACTTTTCGTGAAGACCATCAGAGAATGGAATTCTGGTGTGCCAGAAGACATCACATTCTTACACGCTCTTGCTCTCTGCAGTCTCGTGGACTCAAGTCACCAACAAGCATTCATACCCAACACATATATTTACCTGAATATGACATACACACATTTTGATAATGTTTTGCACATATTTACAATAATATTTTTCCACATTTCAAGAGAGACATCTGAGATAATATATAAAGTTGCAAATTTACCAGTGAGATGAAGACAGGTTAGGTTAATTTTGTGGACATAATTCAAGGATACCTGGGAACAGCCACCAATTGGTAACTGTTTATGGCGAGGCAAATTTAATCGAAACCACAAGTTAATTGAACTGAATTGAGGCATTTACATGTCAAGTTTCCACACTAGAAAGACACCAGTGGGCTAAACCAATGCCTAAAAGGTATAGCCAGGAAATCATTAAACTGTTTAAGCTTAGTCAACGTACCGAACTGCTTTGGATACAAAAATTCTAACATGCTCAAACATTTCCAAATCTGGAGGTTGCAGACGCATCGCACCCTTCTCGTGGACAATATCAAACTACACACTGATATTATGAAACATGCACACCTGAGAGCAGATAACACCCGAACAAATTCTTTTAAAAGATGCAACATGACTTCAAACTATTTATATTTATCAAACAAACCTGTAACATCATTTTCTTTTAACATCATAATGTTTCATAACATCTTAATGTTTTGAATGTTTTAGCAAACTGCATGTATCACATAGAATGCTCTACAGCACCTGGAACACTTGATCAATGGGAATATGTCAACATATCTTACACACACACACGAGAAATTTCAGACAAGATCTTCATTTATAGATAACCGGGAACATATCTACTCCACGACAGACACTGGTCTATATATAGTATATGTGGAATAGGCTGGATGTAATTTACCTAGGAAAAAATCTGTTTCATTTTTTACTATGCTCCATCAAATTTCTTATTATGTGTTATTCATTTTGAAATATATATCCAAGTTCTATCCGATTCAAAGCATTTGAACTAAAACATCATTTAAACTTTTTATTTACATTTTCAATAAATCAGATTTCAGGGGGTTAAAATTTAATATACAGTAGGATACGAAAAAAACATTTCTTTTATTTCAATTAGAGGATATTTGTTTAAAACTATAAACGTTAGGGACTAGTTTCCTCAATCATAGAAATAAATGACCGATTTAACATGCATTCTTTTGATACATGTATTCTGTATAGCAAGAAAGTGTCACTATGAGTGAACATTCAGTTTATGTGGCTTTAATTGATAAAGTGACTACCAGTAAAACTTACACCTGTAAAGCCTTCTGGCTTTATAATATTGCAAAATCTGTACAAGCACAATACTCGTGAAACTTCACACCAGTTAAGAAACTAACCATAGTGTTTCATGTTGTTGTTCTCCAACATAGAATCAGGAATGAGAAGCACAGAATTTTGAAAGTACATGATCATGCCTCGTTTTCATACATCATCATTGATCTTTATGTAAATACACATGATCTGTTTGGATTTAAATAATTTCAAAGTGCTTAAGACCAGAATTCTACAATATGGTTTTGTCCCTAGCACAAGGTAATTGACCCTTTCTGAAAAGTGAGCCGTTGTTTAAGTAACACTGCTACTCAAGTCAAATTTCTTAGCAAAAAGACCCCAGAACACTTCTTTCAATTATTTGACAAAATGAGAGAAATTATCATTGAGACCAAATGCCCACTCCCCCTTCGACAGTAATTCAATGCGAAACTCTGACAATAGTGATTTTTATAACATATGCTGTCCTAGTGTATTCTTAAATAAAGCAGTTATTAATATTAGTAACTGGTATAATAATTTCAAAAAGAAGGGGCTTGAATCAATTTCATATAAGTGAAAAGGGACAAATTAAATCTTGTCGTTGTAGAATGCAAATAATGTACACTAAGGAGTGTATCAAGCGTCCTTAGTCATGGTAAGTACCTGATGTGAACATATAGGCAGTGACCAAGTCTAACATTCCCCACTCTTCAATTTTTCCCTCGCATTTATACATTTTTTTTTAATCCTTTTTTAAATAACCATATGTATCAGAACTCTCAACCGTTTCCGGAATCATATTGATCTTCTGCATAACAATTGTCCTCATCCTCATCATCCTCATCGTCCATATCATCAGCATAGTCATCGTCGTCATAGAAATCAACACAATCCATTCCTGTATCTGGAGGTTTGGGTTTAAATGTAACACAGTACTCCTGTAAGGTAGTTGGAACTTTCACGTCATCTTTGATTGCCTCCTCCTTTGTCCCTTCCACTTGTTTCCTGCCAAACAATAAAATGTTTCGTAACAAAAGCTCCACAATACTTCAACATGAACTGGAATACTTAAAGGGGTTTTCTCTCTCAGTGTGTTTGAACAGTTTCAAAGCCACAGCTAGGGCAAGCTCTAACTGAAAATAATTTACCTTTGACCCCGATATGAAGGTCAGTAACCTAAATGCAAAATACTGCACATTTTATATTGATGATACAGAGAGGCATACCATCAATATATTTTAACACTTAAAATTACAGTCCAGACATATTTTTTTTCTAAAAAGATTCAAACAAGAGCAAAAGAACTGGCATATAATTTGTCACCCTTCTTTTAATTAAAATTTACTTTAAGGGTGCTTAATACATGCAAACCTCTAAAACTGCTGTTTATAACATTTCACAGAATACTTATCAGACAAAGAACAGCATTTTTTTTTTTAGATTTTCAAAATCAATTGTTTCTGAAATCAGGATTGAACCCGTTTCAATACTCTAGAGCTTGATTGCACAAGCTTACTAGACATTACAGTCATTTTACACCCAACATGAGTTAGGCACTACTAGACATTACAGTCATCTTAAACCCAACATGAACAAGGCACTATACTAGACATTACCGTCATCTTACACCCAACATGAGTGAGGCACTACTAGACATTACACAGCCATCTCACACCCAACATGAGTTAGGCACTACTAGACATTACAGTCATCTTAAACCCAACATGAATAAGGCACTATACTAGACATTACAGTCATCTTACACCTAACATGAGTTAGACACTACTAGACATTACAGTCATTTTACACTCAACATGAGTTAGGCACTACTGGGAATTACAGTCATCTTACACTCAACATGAGTTAGGCACTACCAGACATCACAGTCATCTTAAACCCAACATGAATAAGGCACTATACTAGACATTACAGTCATCTTACACCCAACATGAGTTAGGCACCTGTAGGATTTATCTGTTTACCTGATTATATTTTCGTACTCCTTGTCCTTTCCTTTAGAATCTTTCCATTTTCTGTACATAACGGACGCATCAACATTGGCTGGAGAAAATGTGTTGGGCTCATTTAACAAGGAAATTATACTTAGCAACACCGTTCTGAAAATACAAAAAAAGTCTGATTAAACAACCAGGTCTTTAAGGTATAACTGAATCTTCTATTGCAATATATCGGGGAAGCTAGGAGCCTGTCTGTGTTATATCAATTTTCAGTAAGAGATGCTGAAAATTTTGGAGGAATATAAAATAATTTATCAAGTTACTGATCAAGATCACTTGAATATGAGCAATAAAAAGTACCTATACTGCTATTTTGTAGAGTTGTGTATTATATATNCCCCCCCCCCCTCAATAATTGATATGTACATCATAGTACTAAAAGTAATACTAAATCCTTTACCAATAGTACTCATTACATTAAGTCCATTATTATGTATTTCTAATGCTGTGATATCCCTATGACGGGTACGCATATAGCGACCTATTATCTGACATCATAGTTTACGACATCATAATTTCTCCTTCAAATAAACAATCTCATTGATGTGAACAAAGCCCTAAAGACATGTTGTTAATTTTTTTTTACCTTTTATATAATATATTATAACAGTAGCAAAATTATCCTTATGGAAGAAGAAATAATATAAAAACAAAACATATCTCAACAACACATCCTTGGCACTTTCACCTCGTCAAGGAGATGTAATGTTATGTTGGTGGCATGTTTCTCTCATCAGAAGTTATATATCAACAGCATATACTGTCTATGTGCCTGTGTCTTCAGTAATGGCTTGCTACCGAGGTCAGTCAGAAAGTAAACATACACTTTTTAGTTTAAAAGCAGATGTGTTCTTCACATTATCACTTAACAGAAGGTGAAATGTCAATAGTGATCTAGAACACTTTTAATGGTTATGGTGATCATAATGATAGTAGATTAATAATAAACCAATCTGATTAAAATCATCTGTTAGGCTCCGTTAACTTTGTACTACACCTGTTCAGGCGGAGCCATGTAACAGATGATTTTAATCAGATTGATAATAAACTTGGTTATCATTTCCTCAACATGGTGTATGTAACTCGTGTCATAGATACCAAAACTGTCTTCAGATCTAGAACCATTGTGGTTGTGTACCTGACATTCTGTGTGGGATTCCACCGTTCTGAGGGAAGTTCTCCACTTTGAGGGTCGTCTACTGGAGGGTGTAGTATTGATATGCAAACATCTCCATTCTACAATAATCCAAATACATTCAGGTGATCAAGATGTACAAGGATGCATTAGAATATTACACTACTATGCAGTGATTTTGTTCGTGTAGTTTTACAGCCGAATACAGACTGTTTACCCTAACAAAAAATCTTCCAAACTTCAGTAAAAATAATGTTATATTTTCCCAATCTATGATGGAAAAAGTTGTTGTAAAATTTACGTAGAAAATCACTGCCATGCATCAGTGTGATTGATATATACGTAATGATACCCAGGTGATACTGCAACAGTTGGTAGACTGCAAGTGACATTGGAGATTTTCCCTCGAAACATTTGATCAGAATCCAAATTAGTTTCCATATTATACAAATGTCATTATAAGTATTTTTTCAATTTCAAAAGTATTTTATTGACAATACAAACATATAAGTTAACATTAAAGAAGATATTAGAACAGTATTGACAAAAGAATAAGACAACAGGCTTTGCCTATATCAGTCTTCTTCTATTTCCGGTAGCTATGTACAATGCTTAAATATATAAAATGTTGGGATTCGTTTTCCTCTCACACACATGCACACACACCCACACCAGCTTATGTCTAATACTCGTTATTTAAGGGACAAAACTTGCCTGAATAATAATAATAATAACAATACATGAATATTCATTTGGAATTTATCTAGCACGTATAAGTAACGAAACGTTTTGATGATTTAATATAAGAGTCAACATGTATAAGAATAGTTTTATTTAATTGGTCGGATGCATTACTAATACCATATACTAAACAGTGCAGATTTAAATATCCTACTAGATTATAAATAGTGGTAATATGATGCCTAATATTAGAATACAGAGGACATTGAAAGAAAAAATGTATTAGATCTTCCCTCTGTACACCACATACACAGGAAACATCATCAATCAGATGGTCTTGTAACTTATCTAAGTTAAGATCACTTTTAAAATTTCTAAGCTGACATAAAATGATGTTAAGTTTCCTCGGAACACAGTTAATAAAAGTTTCTGAGTCGGATGTATCAAAGGTTTTTTCAAGTTTCTTTTTAAAAGATGAAATTGAGATGGAGTCTCGTACAGTGCTATCAAGTACATTCCATGTTACCATTGTAGAAGGGAAGAAGCTATTATAAGCATAAGGAGAACATGTGGACAGATTTAAAGAGAAATGTCCGGTTGGTGATGCAATGTAACTATGTTATGATAGACTTGGTGCTTTCTGGACCGGACATGATAATGATCTGGTTTGCGAGGATCAATTTCATCTGGTACAACCCGTACAAATCCGGCTGTATGTAGCCAGTGAAGCAACGGAATTACCTCATATACATTTGGATGCCACATCTTTGACATGAACTTAACACTTGGAGGGTTGTATGGATAATCTGATGGGAACTTCATGTGGGCCTGAAAAATAAATGTAAAATCATGAAAATCAATTTCAATTACGAGTCCAAATTTCTGCATTTAAATTAACATAAACAATTGGTGAATTAAGGATCCTCATACCACTGCCAAAAACTGTAACTTTGTTTATGAAACTGCTTTTTTTAGCATGACTATACCTCTGATGAATCATTTCTAAAAAGAAAACCATACCTTGCAGGATTTTTATGAATTATTAAAAATATTAAAGATGAAACAAAATGTAATCAATAATAGCGTTCAGAGTATAAAAAAGTTTAGCAAGACCAGACCGCGACCCTATGGGTAGGTTTCACTTTGTTTAACGTCCTGTTAATAGCCAAGGTCATTTAAGGACGTGCCTCAATGTGTGTATTGTGTAATGTTTGCGTCCTTGTGTATATGAAATATAAACTTTCTTTATTTTACAACAATTATGAAACAAGTTATTTCAACTTATATGAATCACTCTTGTTGGCCCGGATGTTAGCGTGCAGGGAGTCTAAAATTCATGTGGTCGGGCAGGTGACCCCATACCCCGGTGAATCGAACCCTGGCCACCCCATACCCTCATGTATATGCGTGCTGGAGGTAGGGTATATATGTTGGTGTTTTTTGCCTTCTTGTAATAGCGTGAATCTGATGCCGACTTATGGGTGCAGTAGTGTTGCCTTCCTCACTTCCCTGCTATCATTTTTAAAACATGGTCGAATAGACGGAGCAATATTACCATACACAGTAGCGTAACACTACCATAATGACAGACATGGGCATTAAAACACTTAGAATATCACTTCATTACAACAAAGCACTAGAACTTTTCCGTGTGTTGTTACATGCAATAAGTTAACTGCAAAGGTAATGCTTTGACTTGCATTTTTATTGGTCTCTGGTACCGACATTTCAATACTCAGTCCAAGGACCAAAACTACTGGAGATCAAAATATAAGATGCCATCCTGCATTAATTTTAGAAAAACTGTCTTGGGAGGTATTGTACAATAACAGTATTTTTAGGCTATTCCACAATCAGTGGAAATCATTGTCATATACCTTCATATATACATGTCAAGCTATTGAGAATATTTATACAATACGGTCAATACCCCAAATGAATGTAAGTATTATTTCTCAGCATTGCCAGATTGTTAATCTGGTAATATAATACAAGATCAAACAACTTCTAAATTTGACAATTATTATAATTAATATCTTTTTTTTTGAAATGCAAGTAATGTGAAGAAATCTGAAATTCGCAATTTGGAAAAAAGTCAGTCTGCTTTCAGTTTCTTATAGTGACGTCATACAGAGGGCCTCAATTTGTTTTTCATTGTTATTGATCTAAACTGATTTCTCTGGACTGACTTGGTTGTATGCCAAAATTATTGACCTTTTCATTTTAAACTTTATGTATATTAGTCTGTAAACGGGTTTTTCACAATGCTCTTTAGAAATAACGAAGCAAGTAAAAATACAATTCTTTGTTTGCTCCAGGAAGTCGTGAATGGAAACTTGACCGAACAGGTTTCGTGACGCAATAACGAAAATCACCCGAAATTCCCCATTTTGAAAAAAATATATCAGGTTGATTAAAGGTCTCATCCCGTAAACTAGTCTCTGAGTTTCCACACCTTGAAGTAACCTCCTTCATATAAGGTCCCTGGAGGTCCAAAGATAGCCACTTCCCACTCGAACAAATTCTCATCCTCGATCAGATTCACACGAAATCCTTCCACAGGTTCTTCTTTAATTTTCTTTAGTTCCAGCTGTAAGGCTTTCACTGCCCCACCTAAGGGACTCTGAGCCATTCCTTCTCTTCAAATTCCGTCCAGTAGGGTACAGTTTCAATTCAAAACGACAAAAAATGGGTGGTTTCCGTGGTGTTTGCTCTTTGTTTTTGTTTCACTGTACTGCAATATGGCGATCAGGGAAAATGACGTCACGAATTTGCCAGGTATGGAAACGAGGTTTATTTTAGGACTGGGAAGGAGGTTGTGTTGTCGTAAAATCTAATGAAAAATTTCATGTGCGTTATCTTTTTTTCTTAAGTAATTGACTGACCATCTCAATTTTTTATGTCAAGTGATATTGTATGTAAAGTAACTATTGATGTCTGTGTAAAAAATATTTCATTTGTTTACGACTTCTTGTTAATGAATCCGCTGCGCAAACTCACTTCCGCAGTTTATTGATGAGGATGGCTAGCTGCGGGGGATTGTCAGCGGAGGAGGAAAGGGTGAGAACACTATTTAGTCAAATATTTTCCATCTTCTTTTTATTGTATAATTTAATTCTGATTACAAACTTTCGTTTTCCATTTTCCATGGGATGGGAAATTGACAAATTTGTAAATGAACAGTGTTGAAATCTTGAATAGCCAAGAGTTCAACATCCTTGACAACATTCGTAGAAATGTCTTAAATCACAAAGCAATAACTCCCATCAAAATTACACGATAATTAATTTTCTGTTTAGCTTGATGATTTCATTGTCATTTACAAATATCATTTATTGACATTATATGAACTGATTGACTCAAAGGAATCTGAGTGTTTTCAGGAACTAGTATCTAGCCAATCCTATATTTTAGTTGTTCAGTGTTTGAACATCCTGATTGTATGAAACTGTTATCGTAGCTCTAACAAAAAATGTACCAGTTAATAATAAATTCATAAGTTACCTGGAAAGGTCTCAGTCTCATGATTATGGTTACACAAACAACAACAAGGGGGAAAAACAAAAAACTATTAAAAACAGAGCAAGAACAGGGTCACTCAAAACGTTTTTAGTAGAAGAGTGGTGGATTCTTGGAACTCCCTTCCCAACACAGTAGTAGAAGCCCCATCCCTAAACTGTTTTAAATCTCGTTTAAACACTTTTTGGAAAAATATTTTTATCCCAGTTTTTAATGCTAAACAACCGGTTAACAGTATGCTACCAAACCAAGATGCGCCTACATAAGCTACTTCAAGCTAACAACGGTGTCGACGAAGAGGTAAACAGAGGTATGTCTCTGATATATGATCATGAATGTAACAGGAAGGGAGTTTTGGGTTTCCACCGAGGATCCAATCAGATCCAACTCTCTAGATCTGTCATCACAGCGAGGGCCACAGAACCATTTGTAAAAGAAAGAGAAGGAACAGATTGTAATCCAATTTGTAATTAAAACCGGCAATGTGAATGTAAAAAAAAACGTTTAAATAATGAAATATTAAATACATGAAAGATGAAAATAAAGTGTCACTTTCAAGGGGCATCACGGTGAAGTGTATATTTTTTGTGTCTTTTTTTCAAATACTGCATAAACATATCAAGTGAGTCTCTTTATGGAAAATAACAATCGGATTTGTGTGATATATATTCATATAAATGAATAATCTTAAGATATTCATCGGGATTTCTACCTGTCTGTGACCAACGTTTTGTTTAGGGATTTTCCTCTACTAGCGCATGCGCATAGCACGCCATGTCATTGTAAACAAAATGTCTAGCCGTGTGAGGAACCGTTACCGCATCAGCTACGACGCGAGCAGTTGCCAAATAGTCAAAAGATAGCGCAAGGATAACGTTACAGAATCATTATTGCAGGTGGGAAGTATTCGAAGGAGAAAATAACTGCCCTAGCAGTTAGTACAGTGCATGTATTCTTCTGGATAGCCGGTTAAAGCTGAAATGAAATCAACAGAAATGCTGTTTAATATGTTATGAATAAATATCTAAAACTATTAACCTTGCTAGTATCTTTGTCCGAGTTGGAACACAGATGAACTTATTTTGTTATGTTAATTGGCATGCATCGGAGAGAGTTTACTTGGTGTTTCTATATACAGTAGTTCATGCGAAAAGAAGGGATAAGTGACTGGTTAGTTAACCTAGCTACTTATAGTCAAAAGGATCGCATAACAAAAAAATTGTTTTAATCGTTATGTTTCAACTGTTCATGTGTACACATGATGTTCACACTTATGATCATGCAACAATTTTTTCTCTATAAATAATTCATTTTCAACTTCAGATAGAACCGAAATACGCATTGAAAACCGGAAAAAAGTCATTTGTTTACGTTGTAAAAATGACACGTTCTGCCGATAACTACAGATTCTGTTTCGGACAAAAATAACTGATTAAAGAAAAGTTGTCTCAACATAAAGAAGGGGCCATTTACAAGTATGCTTTAATCTATGTTATGTGTACATGTTGAAAACATATAATTATCAAGTATCTCAACACGTTCCATTTCTGACACATGTTACATATTCTACATGAACACGTAGTGGTTTTGCCAGAAATGTTTATTGTGTGTGATGGCTAATATGACTTACTTAAGTTTAAACATATTTTATTGACAACATATCGACAAAGGGACTAGTCGGTAAGTTTTTCCAACTTATTAATTGTTAAGAGTATGAAGACAGTGAAAGTGGTAAAGAAAGTATACATGAATATATATAATGCATGGTATAGAAAAAAAAGTGGCCAAAGACATTGAGTTGTATAATGTAAAAAAAAAATCACAAATGTTTCTCTTTTTTTTTTATACTTGTCAATGCATATACACTTTATGAAAACAATTGAAAAGTGATATTCGTCTCGTGAATATTCCTTTTTACAGAAAGATTTGTCCCTTGGTTGAGGGAAGGTGATTAGCCCCGTTCCATTTGTTCCGGTCACATTCCGGTAATAGATCTATATTTCCTGGTGTCTATAAATAATGCTGAGTTGCCAACAAATATTTCTTCATTGAAATTCTGAATATTGGCATGTGTGCAATTAACTTCTGATGATGAATAATTACTGATTCAATAAGTTTCAACACGGACTTGGAAATCATATAACTTGGTTTCATAGTGCGGTAAGAAGTTGCAGTTGCCTAATAGCCCCTCTCTGGGGGCCCCTTTGGATCCCGTTCAGACCACTGTGTTTACTGCCTCGTTTCAAAACCGCCAGGCGCTATTTTTAACAGGGCTTTCCCGAACAATTCAAGTGTTCAAACTGGACATTTGGAACGGACTATGACTATTGGGATAGCAAGGTAACATAAGAGAAAGTGCATTTAACACATACATTAATTGAAAAAATATGGCTCTTCACGTGATGTCCCTTTGATGTGAACACATGCATGAATGACACAGGACATAAGAATTCAGACAAAATTTGGATTTGTTTTGATTTTTCTTTATTTTACCTTTAACAATTTTCTCTTTAAAGTATAAAAGGATTTAGTGACAGGAAAACCTATTATATATTTATAGAACAAATGACAAAATCTATCTAACTTTTAATAAATTTTCATGACAAATTCATGCTAATATTGAAAAAAGGAATTTTGGTTTGTATATACGTATACTCATCATACATGTATGGAGGAGAAAGAAAAATGCACAGTCAAACCAGATTCGAACTGGGACCCTTTGAACTCTAGACATACACTCTAGTACAACTGAGCTACCTGGTCACCAACGATCAACCCAGTCCAGTTCCACAACATTCCTCCCTCTTTTTTCTGAGTATACGTATTGCCCATGGAGACAACACTATTTACAACACAGGTTTCGGTACATGTTGCCAATGAAAACATTTACCCAGTGCTTGAAACAAGGGTTGGCAAGCTAAGCTTGACAATTCTGTAACAGGAGAAAGAGAAAAACATGTCCAGACCAGGTTGCCAACCTGGGACCCTCCGACCTCTAGACGGACACTTTACCAATTGAGCTTCCTGTTCACCGACAATCAACTCGGTCCATTTCCGCTATACATGTGTCTCTAAAAGAACATTTTTATACCATTCCTTACGCATAGATGTTAACATACAGGGATTAGAGGTTTTATGGGTTAAGATAAGAGAGCAAATGTGAAGATAAGGCTTAAAGGAGTTTGAAGGAACAAAATGTATTTCAAATGGTCATATCCTTTAAATCCCAAGAGTCAAGGCTCATTTCAGGGAGTAAAACACATATTCCAACAAGGAGTCAACTGAAAACCAGAAGAGGCTAACATAAGTTACAATAACTTGTGCCTAATCCATTGCCTGGAGTGTTGTGGCAACAAATTATGTTTAAAACTAACTAATCTATGGAACAGCCATGGCCGCCTGTAAGAATTGTTTGACACAAGACATTGGGCCCTGTACAGTGTAATACTGCTAGCTGTACAGCTGTCATAAATTATCTATTGAAAGGATTATTGTTATGTAAGGATTTGGCAATTCATCAACAGATATTCATGTGTATTTTTTTCCCCTTCAAATAAAGGTAAAAGCTACAATAAAATATAGGGGTTTTGCTTTGTACCGTTTTTTTTTTTTTTTGGGAGGGGGGGGGGGGGGGGTATAACGGTGTCATTAGCAAACCTTTTCAGTTTCATAATTAATATTGTTTTTCATTATTTGTCTCCAATTTGGAACACCAAATTTGCATATATATCATGTGACTATTTGCCAATATTCATCAGCAGAGGTCCTTCAGGATGTTTCCTTCATGATCAAATTTCTTAAATATTACCTTTTGGCTATACAGGCCCTTTGTGGCCTTTTGCATTGTTACATAAGACATAGCTATTACCATTGAGTGATACAGGCACTGTCTCCTCTTGTTCAGTTATAATAAATAATGATAAATATCTGAGTGAAAGTACAGTATTAAAGACCCATGGTTTGTGCATGGAGTGATCATAATTTATATTACATGTACTGTTGAGTTATGATATGTGTGTAGGCCCTAAGGCTCTGTGACCTGGTAACCGGTCACGCAGATCCCAGATGTCCTCTAGTTCAAATGTCATAAATGTTACCAGTAAGTGATAGGGGCCTTTGTGTCCACTTGTTGTTAAGCTGCCATGAAAGATATCAGGCAGATGGCACAGGCCCCATGTGTCCTCCAGATATTCTCATAAATATTAAATGCATTAATACTGTTACATGTATTACCAGTGAGGGATACAGGCCCTTTTTCTTTGGTAAAAAAGCATCAGGTGGATGACACATGCCCTACATGTATGTGTTCTCTAGATCTTGTCGTAACTTTTATATGCATTAATACTGTTACCACCAGTGAGGGATACAGGCCCCTTTTCTTGTATGATAAATAGCATCGCTGCATCAGGTGGATAACATGCCCTACATGTATGTGTTCTCTAGATCTTGTCGTAACTATTATATGCATTAATACTGTTACCACCAGTGAGGGATACAGGCCCTTTTGTGCCTTTTTTTCTTGTATGATAAATAGCATCAGGTGGCTGACATGCCCTACATGTATGTGTTCTCTAGATCTTGTCGTAACTATTATATGCATTAATACTGTTATTACCTGTGAAAGATACAGGCCCTTTTTCTTGTATGATAAATAGCATCGCTGCATCAGGTGGATGACATGCCCTACATGTATGTGTTCTCTAGATCTTGTCGTAACTTTTATATGCATTAATACTGTTACAATCAGTGAGGGATACAGGCCCTTTTGTGCCTTTTT